TATTTTAATTTCCAGAACATCCCTTGGAATCCATATTCATTTTCCTTCTGTCTGTCACCCACCACCTTTGTAATACCAGTAGCTTATGTCATGATGACTAGATTGTCAGAATCATCTGTGAAATTATATTATTCAAATAGTAAACTCTGGCTCAAAAATCTTTAATATTTTTGAGAGCTCCGTTCCAGATGGCTAATTTAAAAAAAAAACAAAAACGACATCTGGTTGCTAAAAGAAACTTTAGGTACTTGGTCAGTTCATATATGTGGGAAGCTTAACCATTTGGGGTAACTTGTGATTATTGCACTTAATCATAATGTCCCATACTATTTTTATAAAGATGTTTATTAACAGTATCTTGGAAATGTAAATCTGTATATCCAGGAAGAAGTTCTGTTTGTGTGTGTGTGTGTGTTTGTTTTTGGAAAGTTAATTTATATTGTTTAAGTATGCATGAATGTGTGAAGAGTCCTTTGAATGAAAGGTTAGCAATAAGAAAATTCAGTGGCATGCATGCTTCCTTATTTTCAGCTTTGAAGATATTACTTAAAAATATCAAATCCATTTAAAATTTCTTATAAGCCTTGGTAAATACTTTCCTCAGATGATTTTTTTTTCTTGCTGTGGTTAATAAAAAAAAGTCAATTATTTTTGTAAGTTGTGAGGAGCCTAAAAGTGAGTGCTTATTACTCAGAAAATATTCTATTACAGAAGAAAGCAATTTAAGGAAATCAGAAGCAGAAATTAATTTATTTCTTGGAAACTTCATATTGGTTCAAGCTTTCCCAGTTACTGTGGATCCTATCTAATTATCATAATTTTACTTATGTGCATTACATTAAATTTACATAAAGGAGAAGGATGAAAATATGACAGACTTTTAAGTAGTTGGGGAGAGAAAGCAGGTTGGGTATTAAAAGCAGTCAGTTTGCCAGCAGTGGTGATTGTGGGGGTGAGGAGTGGGCGGAGGTTGAAAGAGCGTATAGAGGAATAAATGATGATGGAAAAAAGAAAATAAAGGAACAAAAATAAGCAGTTTGTAAATCAGCTATACAGTTGAGGGAAGTCTAGGGGTGCAGTTGTAACAGAAGACGTCTTTGATGATATGAAGAGGTGACATGAAAGAAAAACACCACTGTCCAACAGCCTTAAAGGAGATTCTGACTTTTGTCACTCCATTCCTACATGACTATTCCCACGTGACTCCTCCATTCCACACTTGTGCTTATGTTATTTTACGGGCTTCTTTAGGTGAATATGGTTTTGTGATCACCATGCAGAGTTAGAAGGAGGAAATTTTTGAGAAAGTCTTTCGTCTACTTCTTGTGTTTACTTTCATGTTGAAGGTTGGGAATGGGTGTGGTTGTGGTAGTTCATCTGCCCCAAATTATTTTAGAAAATTCGTATTTGTATTTTGTCAGATTTTCCTGAACTCATTTGGAACTGACTTGAATATAGAGCAACATTTGCTAAATACATGCTGCCTTGCATTAGAGATATAGAATGTATACCCCTCAGGAACTATGGAAAAATGTTTTTTATATGAACTGGAACATTTGATTTGAAACACATAGCATGCTTATTTTTTTAGGTGCGTTGAATATTTAAGGTCGTTTTGTTAATTTAAGAACATAAAAATATATATGTTGCATGTGGATTTGCTTTTCAGAAAACTAAGTAAGTTACCATCTTAAGATATGCTGCATTTGAATGGTGGCCCAAAACAATGGAATAAAGCAAATGTTACTGTATTAAGGGGTCTTAATGACTTCTATGTTATCAACCTATAGAGGCTGAAAAGTTATTTCTGAAGAGTGTAGGGGCTGGGAGTGGGAGGAGACAGATTGGTTCTCCCTAAAGAGGAGCTTCACAAAACAACAGTGTCATAAGTAACTTGTCAAATGTAATTTTTAAATTTATTTTTCAGAGAAAGCTCTGTTAGTTATTTTTGGAAAAAATAAGCCTTGCTTCTGCCTAGAAAAATATCTTTGAGCAAATAAGGTGAATATAAGCTAAGTTAATGTATTAAGGATAGAATGACTGCCCGTAAGACAGTTTTTGGCAGTCTTACCATTGGTTTTACTGAGCAATCTTTCTGGCTTTAATTTTGTTTTAAACAATACTCAGGAACCATTTTTTATGTGTGCTCAAAAGAATGTTTTTCACAAATGAAATGAATTTAAAACCTTTATTATGATCAGATAAATGATCTGTGGCTAGTGTCCTTTATTGGGTATTTTGAAATGAATTTCAGTATGAGTTGCTTATAGCAGAGATTTTGTACTCTGTATTTAAAGATGTACGTACCATATGAATTCCAGGACTTGGTACCTCAGAATAGCTCATACATACAAATCTTATTCTTTATTAACTTATGAGCAATATGCATAAGGGAAATATTTGTTTCATTTTATCTTTAAAGGCGCAGAATCTTTAAAAAAAACAACAAAACTCAATATCTTATTTTTTTTCCTTGATGATTTTTAATTTCTTTTTGTTTTCTTTGTCTTATACTAGGGCGACATACCTTCTGTTGCATACCTCTTACAAAACGGAAGCGACCCAAATGTTAAAGACCATGCTGGCTGGACACCATTGGTAGTTTTCTATTTGTTTGTTTTTTAATTCCCATTCTGTTTATATTTCCTAGTTATTAATAGTTTATAGTTATGTAGTTGTTTCTATATCATTCTTTGCCATATATAGACCCTTTTTAAATCAGAAGACATATTTTCAAGAAGAGAAAATGATTATTTGACATCTAGCTCTTCATTTGTGATAGGCACCAAATGAGCTACCTTTAGATTTAAGAGACCAGTTATACCATGTTGCTGAACTTAGCAGCAAATGTGTGGAGAGCCAACATCAGGTTCCATTCTGCAGCTTTGCGTGCAATTGGAAGCATTTTGTGGAGCAAAGAGAGGCCAGAGGAAATGGGTGCTTTAGGAAGGTCTCACTAACAGTGATTCTTACTGAGGATCTACCTCGGCCTCACGTATATATCCTACCCAATTCTAAGTATACAGAGGCAGTAAAACTTTGCTTCATTATCATTTTTAAACTCTCTGCTAACTACTGTTAAAATATAGTGTGAAGAGTAGTCTGAGAAAAGAATGGCACAAAGACATGGAACAAGTGCTATCTGGGTTAATTATATTAGGACAGTAAGTATGTGATTTGAATATAGCCATAGCTGTGTCAACAGATGAGGTGGATGGCCTTATCTTGGGAACTGGAGATTCACAAAAATTGGGAAATTCTTATTAGATTAGAATGTTATAATGGCTTCTCTTTGCCAAATTTAAGGTAGGAAGGTTTAGTCAAGGTCAAAGTGCATGTTGTTGCACTCTGGGTTTGTAGTAAAACTTGGTGAGTGATTTAGAGGACTTGAGGCTTCATTCAGATTCCTTTATCCTAGAAATAAACCTACAGATGTTTAGTATGTACTAATTATTATGAATTGAATAGCACACTATGCCAGAAATTTATTAGATTACAACAGAATGGCATTGTTAGCAGTTCATGAGACATAAGGAAAGATTTGCATGTGAGATACCTTTGAACATTCCATTGTTACCAGTTATGTCATTCATTTAGTAAGCTCTTTTTGAGCATCTACTCCATGTCATTTTTGTTATCATTGATGCTAGATGTACAGTCATGTGTAGCTTCAGCAAATAAGAGAAGCTTGTCTTATACTCATTCACTTTATTGGGTGGTTATGTATGTGTGTGTGGGCACACCACTTAGCTTATGGCTAAGCATCTGATTTAATGAATTCTATTCAGCCTTGGAGAATTTCAAATGTTATGCATGATTTGGTTGTTAAATACTTTCTAAGTTTTTTTTCTTGTTTTAAATTTCTTATTGTAGAATAATTTTTTAGGAGCTATAATCGGTTTAAAGCTACATTTTCTTTTAAAATAAGAGCACTTGACCTCAGACTCAAATGAAAAACATCTTCTTTCATGAATTGCACAGATCTTGATCACCATGTATCTTATCACAAAGATTATGAATAGTGGCTTTTACTCTGTCAACAAATTATGGCCTGTTGTATGAGTATTTAGGTAAGAACCAGTTTGCTGACTGAGGTTCATATTTACTTTTCTAAAGTGTGGTTTTATTATGGTATTGCTCTTCCTCATCACTCTTCTCACTCCTTTTCTTTTTTCAAAATCAGCATGAAGCCTGTAGTCATGGGCACCTGCAGGTAGTGGAATTGTTACTCCAGCACAAGGCTTTGGTGAACACCCCTGGGTATCAGAACGACTCACCACTCCACGATGCGGCTAAGAATGGGCACATGGATATAGTCGAACTGTTACTGTCCCATGGAGCTTCCAGGAACGCTGTGTAAGTAGTTCAATATGCAGACTTTTTTTCATTGACTTGTATTCCTAAATCAAGGTCTATCATGAAGCAATCTTTTTAATCCAGTTGATGGCTCTCTTCTCTTTCACAGTTAGAGTTAGATGTGACCATTAAATTCTGCATTTAAAATCATCATTCATGCCTTTTTCCTTTGTGAGACATATTTGAGGGAGATATGCTTTTTTAATTCAGAAACTGTTGTCCAATTTATTTTGGAAGCTGTGACTTCCTGTACAAATTCAGTTGGTTTTTATATTCTTTGGATTGATTACTACTTATTATTAGGAAAAGAATTAGAAGCATAAGAAGAACTATATGCTTACCAGTATTTTCAAATTGTTTTAAATATTCTATTCTTTTCCTGTTTTGTTTTTTTCCCCCCTGCATATTTAATATAACAACAGCTAAAATGTAAGAATTCAGATGTTAGGCAAGGGCTGCCACACTATTTCTTAGATTTTTCACATCATTCAGATGAAGCTCTGGGTAAATTGTTTTGCAGGATCAGGGCAGGGATGCCTTAGTGAGCGCTGGCCGCTACATTTAGAATTGTCATTGTAAAGACTGTCAAGCAAACGCTGTGTGTGGATTTTATATCTTTAATCTATTACTTGGTTCATGTCTCCATACATATTATTTTACTCTTTTCAGTTGATGAGGTAGTTGAAATGGAAATGCAAGAATTATCTCTGTGTGTCCCCATTGCTTCTGTAGGTCTGGAAGGGACGCACAAAGGTCAGACTTACTCAGGTTACAGAGGCAAATAAGAATTACAAAATGCAGAGCTACTAGGTTATACTTTTTATAGGTAACCAAATGACACAGATTACTAATACAAGAGTACCTTGGAGCTTTTAGTTTCAGTAAGTGTGTCTAATATTTTCCCATCATATGTGATAAAATACTTGGGGCAAACTCGGGATGAATATTCTTATTTTTTTTTTTGCTTTACACACACACATACACACACACTTTACGTTAGGTCCATATATAGATATGAGATATGGACCTAACAGGTATGACCCTCCTGTGGATGTAACAAGCCATTTGATGAAGCAAATGGTTGCTTGGGTCAGGTGAAATAGAATAGTTTCTATCCTTGGCTTTTTAAATCAGCCATGACTACTTTAATGAATGGGGTACTGGTCAGGGCGTTAGGGAATCCAGGTTCTGTTTGTGACTCCATTATTGACTTTATAGCTTCAGGCAGGTTAATTTCTGTGCCGTCTGTTCTCACCTATTAAACATGGGTGATGCCTGTTACTTTTCTGTTTCTTCAGAGCATAGTGAGGATTAATGAGCCCAAACACAGAGCCTGTCTTGTGGCTCATACACCGCGAGTCTTCTGCACTGTGAAGCTTATTAATATACAAGGTGTGGGCATGAGACAGTGAGTGAATCTGTCTTCACAGGTGCCTTCTCAGGTAGACATTTACCTGGTAAAGTGGCAGACTTAGGTATATCTAAAGCGCAGCACTGTCAATAGACCGTTTTGCAGTGCGGGAAATGCTCTATAGCTGGGCAGGGTAGTCAGTAGCCACTAGCCATCTGTTGCTATTGAACATTTGAAATGTGGCTATTGCTACTGTGGAACTAACTTTTAACATGAATTTTATTTTAATTAATTTAAATAGCCATTTGTGCCAAATGGCCATCGTGTTGGACTGTTGGTTGATACAATTAGGATAGTGGGGAAGGAGGATTTATTTGGTATGCGAGGTTGGGAATGATGTTGGATAAAGGGTAGTAAGACAATTAATTATAGGGTAAATGCAGAGGTTGATTTAGTCTAGGGTTTAGTGGTGCGGTAGCTGTTTCTAAATGTTATTGTTCCTTCTGTTCCAGACTGTTAGTCATCACACTTAAGTATTTTCTTCTTTCTGTTTTATTTCATAGTAGTTGTTGTTCACCTATTTGGCTTCACTATTTTCTGGTCTTTTTCTTTTCAGATTACTTTTTGTTTTACAGCCCAAGAGCTTTCCAAAAATAAAAGTTTGGCCAAATTACTTATTTGCTTAAAACACTTCACTGGCTCTTCTTAATGTTTTTAAAAATAAAAGTCAAGCCTGACTGGTTTGGCTCAGCGGATAGAGCGTCGGCCTGCAGACTGAAGGGTCCCAGGTTCGATTCTGGTCAAGGGCATGTACCTGGGTTGCAGGCACATCCCCAGTGGGAGTGTGCAGGAGGCAGCGGATCGATGTTCCTCTCTCATTGATGTTTCTAACTCTCTATCCCTCTGCCTTCCTCTCTATAAAAAATCAATAAAATATATTTAAAAATAAAATAAAATAAAAGTCAAACTTCAAAACATGGTTTCTAAGTCCCTGGACAGTCTGACACTATTTACCCTTCAGCCTTGTCTTTCTACACTTCCTCCTTCACACATTTTTTTGCAGTGACTTTTTAAAAACTTTTTTATTTCCTTAAAATGTGCTAGACTGTTTTGTCTTCCAGCCTTTAAATAGACTTTCCCTTTGCCCATTTTTGGTGGCTAATTCCTCATCTCAGTAAGCATTTCCTTTTGCGTGCCTCTTGATTCCTTTGTCTATATATGGTGTTTCCTTCCAGTCATAGAACTTAGTAATAGTATCTTTGCTTCATAGTATCTTCTTACTAGAGACCCGGCGCACGAAATTCGTGAACAGGTAGGGTCCTTAGGCCTAGCCTGCGATCAGGAACGATCTTCCCTGGCTGCCAGCAGCCAGCCCCGCACCCCACCGCCCCTCTCCACTGCCACCCACCTCTGGTTCTTCGTTCCCCATCAGGCAGTTCGAGCCTGCCAGCTGCAGGGAGGGACCAAGAGGCTGGCTGTTCCTGCCCGCTCACCGGTCCCGCTCCCCACCGCCGGTCACCCTGTGTGTGTGGGGCAATCTGCGGGGCGATAAGGGCCCGCTCGCTTGTACCCACCTTGGCCTTGTGCTGCCCGTGTCCGTCGCCACCCACTTCCCTCCTGTTCCTCTTTCCCCATTGGGCAGTCGGAGCCTGCTGGCCAGTGGGGAGGGACTGAGAGTTTGGCCAGCAGGCCCTGATCAAGTGATTGGGGCCTGGGGCCTCGGGGCAGCTTCTTTGTTGAGCATCTGCCCCCTGGTGGTCAGTGATGTCATTGCGACCTGTCATTCCGCTGTTGCATATTACGCTTTTATATATACACTGTAGATTAGTTTGTACAGTCTCTGTCTGAGGTATCATGTCCCAGGCCCTGCCAATTGCCTAACGTAGTCTGTACCCACATGTATTTGGAGTGAATTAGTAGGTGTGTGAATGCATAAAAAGATGATATATTTTGTCCTGTCTTATAAAGGGTCAGATGAGATCAAAATAGGATTTGTCTTTTTCTTCTCCCAGTTTCACTGTAAATGTGAAGAGAATATTTAAAACTAAGTTTCTATCGGCAGCACCTTTGCTAAGGTGGTGGAACTGTGGTAAACGGGCAGTTGGACATCCCTCGAGGTGTCCCAGATTGGAGAGAGTGCAGGCTGGGCTGAAGGACATCCCCTGCACCCCCATCCATGCATGAATTTTGTGCACTGGGTCTCTAATATCCTATCTAATAAAAGAGAAACATGGTAATTGGAATATGACTGCTACCCTCCCCTGAGGGGTCCTGGATTGTGAGAGGGTGCAGGCAAGGCTAAGGGATACCCTTCCCCCGTGCCGCACAAATTTGCGCTGGGCCTCTAGTTATACAATATTTGGAGAGTACTCCAATCTTGTTACTAGTAGTTATTATCATTGGGAACTGCTAATGTATTAATAGTAGACCACAGATACTAAAGACCAGGTGGATTTTTTGTTATTCTATTAAATTTTTTCTTAAATGGACCCTGTAGACTATAAAAACAAAATTTACCCATTTTTCAGTTTAACCTAAGGCTGTGTTTTTCAGGAGGATGCCCAGGAACTTCCTTTCACTGATGCTTAGCAGAGGGCACAGCAGTGAGACAGGGTCTGCAAGGAAGCAGTGTCCCTAGTCTATTTCCCACAGATATATGAGCATTCAGTGGTTCTCAGCTTCAAGCCTTCCTGTATATATTTTTTAGGCAAATGTTGTGATAGTTTCTGTGTATTGAATGCTAAAAAGAAATTCATGTCTACATATTTCAGGGCCCTATGAGCTAAAGTAGGCCCCTGGGCCAGCATCATGTCCATTGATTCCCACTGCTCTATAGACACAAGGAAGTGATGGTTGATGGATTTCCTGTGAGAGCATGTTTGATAAAAGACCTATGTCCTCACACCAGCTGTAGATTCATTCTTCTTAGTCAACATTGGGTATATTTTGATTGACTGTACACCTTTTCTGTTACTGTAGAATTTTATTTGAATTACTTTAATTGGGGATAAAGCAAACTTATAGAGAGGAGTAAAGATTTTTGTAGCTTAGCCTTGGGTGAGTAAAGAACACCAAGACAAACTCCAGCCTTAGAGTTTTTCTTTAATGTGTTCAGAAGAGAGAAAGGGCTAAAGGGCCCATGTTAGAAAGTTCTGTATCAACGTTTTCTTGTTAAATTGCATGAATGATGCTAACACCACATGACTTTAAATATTGGAGGAAGATTCAAGAACTATCTTCTCAATAGTAATTTATAAAATGTAAAGATTACTGAGAGCCTTTTTGTGGCCCAAGAAGTGGGGAGAGTCAACAATTCAGAAATATAGTTAGGCATTGAATGATTATGGAAGGCCAGGCCGAGGGAAAGGAAGAATGGAACATTACCTACCTCAAAGCCAAGTGAATCGGAAAGCATCTTATTGAATACCAGTGGAGGGAAATCTTGAAACCTTATAAGGCAAGGCATGATACCTAGGAATTAACCATATACAGTGTTAATTTAAAATACTGACAATTTATTTGCCATCTTCATGATTTAATTGAAAGATCTGGGACTTTCATAGGTTCACCAACCCTATTTTTCCCCATAGAGGCTATGATCTTCAACAATGAATTTTCCTACTGCAAGGTTTCTGGGCCCTAAATTATT